CTTGTCATGGAACTTCTCAGCCTCCGTAATCACGTCTATCGATCCATCTGTCAATCTATCTCTCTCATATATCTACATCCACCTCTCTTTCAGAGAGAGAGAAAGAGAAAGAGGTGGATGTGCATATGGATGTAATTGTTTTATTTGTTATATATTAATGTGTATTAAGTTTTCTGAATGAGTATAAACTATTGATATGTGAGTCAGTGGGAGTGAGTCGTCTTTAAAAATATTCCTTACTTTACAATGTTAAACCTCTGTGGTAGGGCATGAGAGATGGTAGGAAATGCTTGTACAGTAGAATAACAGGTTTATAAGATCCAGGCCCGGGAAGGGATTGAAGGTGGGAGGCCTCACAGGACCCTGGGTGGCATTGCAAGAGTGGACATCACAGTAAAGGAAGCCAGAAGGGTACAGAGAGGGAAGCTGAAAGTCACTGAACACAGACCTCACCCCTTTCACCACCGAGCACAAGACCAGCTTCTGTGATAGCAAGAAAAACCTGGAGATTTTTCCAAGGCAGAGCCTTATTGCTTTCAAGGGTCTTGAAAACATGCTTTAACATGATGTGATAATTAATTTTAGGTGTTAACATGACTGGATTGAGGTATATGTACAAAAGGCATTATTTTGGGTTCTTTCTGTAAGGATGCTTTCAGAGGAGATTAGCATGTAAGCCTGAGTGGACTGAGTTGGAAAGATCCACCATCAATGTGGGCAGGCACTATCCAACTGGTTGGGGGGCCTAGACATAACAAAAGCAGAGGAAGGCGAATTTGTTTTTTTTTTTTTTTTTTTTTTTTTTTTTGAGATGGCATCTCACTCTGTTGCCCAGGCTGGAGTGCAATGGCACAGTCTTGGCTCACTGCAACCTCCCCCTCCTGGGTTCAAACAATTCTCCTGCCTCAGCCTCCCAAGTAGTTGGGATCACAGGCACCCACCATGCGTGGCTAAATTTTGTATTTTTAATAGAGACGGGGTTTTGCCATGTTGGCCAGACTGGTCTTGAACTCCTGACCTGAGGCAATCCACCTACCTTGGCCTCCCAAAGTGTTGGGATTACAGGCATGAGCCCCTGAGCCCGGCCCAATGTATCTTTATCTACCTCCTAGAGCTGGAATACATTCTCCTTCTCATGTTACTGGGCATCAGAATTCCAGGCTCTTTCGCTTTTGGACTCCAAGACTCACACCAGTGGACCTTCGGTTCTCAGAACTTACACCATT